GCAACGAATATTATCTGCTTTCTAAACAACGAAGAAACGATTAACGTAGAACCAATAGCGATGTTTAAAAAAAAAAAAAAAAGAAAAAGAAAACAAAAGAAAAAACTTTTTAACAAATTACATCTATCAACGATGGATAATGATGGCGGCATTAGCTTTTTAAATGGCACAACATGACCCTAAACTATAGAACGTCAAAATCGACGATGAATCACGAGTATTTTTCAATTAACTTAAATATTATTTTGTCATTAGAAAAAACAATTGCTCAGTCATTCGTATGCTTATAGACATAGATAAATATGTTGCTTGCACAAAATGTGCAATGCACGATTAGATTTTTTCTTCACATAAAAAGAATGATATATATATATATATATATATATATATATATATATATATATATATTGAAGATGAGCCTTTTCATACCAAAGTGAAATTGACTGATGCGTTATTATTGACTATGGGATATACCCAGGGAATCATATGTGTAACCAACAAAATTTTGCTATTGTTCGTTTGTCCCTGTACAGTTTGATATCGAATATACAACTTTTAATATTCTAATGGACACCTTGAGAATATCGATAATCATTGTTTCATTGTTTTTTTCCGAGATCAATAGCAATACTTGAATATTTTATCGCAAATCAAGTATATTTTTAATAATTTAAATATTTTCTATGCTATTACGTAAAATTATTGAATTAATACGGGAAATAAGAAATTAACATTTAAATTAATTCAGAACAAGCGAATCTAATCGATCGAACCATAAATATTAATGCTAATAGTAAAAACAGTAATCAAGAAACACGTAACTATGAGACAGACTCTCCGGCAAGTAGTGCAAGGAAACGTTGGAATAGAAGCATACTAGCTCGTATTCTGGCAGATCGTAGTAAGTAGTGCATATCTAGTACTAGGCGGACGGTGAAAGGTTCCACGCACAGCCCTAACAGCTCGTCGTTCGATTCACCCAATCGCTTGGGGCAGAAAATTGCAGGTAACCTCGACCGCAGTCTCGTTCGATTTCGAATCCGAATATCGAACGTTCTTCAATTTTCACGTCCGTATCGAATGGTCGACTAAGTGTCAGCGCCGCTTCCCGTCAATCATCGCTCGTTGTTGGACGAAGTGTAAACGAAATGCAATCGATCGATAGGCTGAACAACGAATGACACCCTTCTCTTTTCTCTCTCTCTCTCTCTCTCTCTCTCTCGCCCTCTTTCATAAAAGATCGATAAGCGTTGACTAACCGTATGGTTACTCTATGAGAAAAAGAAAAGAGAGAGAGAGAGAGAGAGAGAGAGAGAAACGCGAAAAGAAAAGAAAAGAAAGGGACGAAGAAAGAAGTAAAAAAAAAAAAAAACAAAGGAAAAGAAGAAAAAATATAAAAAGAAGAGGAAAAAGAAAAAGGAAAGAAAGAAAGAAAAGAAAAAAAAAAAGAAAAAGAGAAAAGAAAAAGTAAGAACTCCGTTCTAATTTTAACAAGATCGAATCGCATCCGTAGTTCGGGAAAATTTCGTCGAAGGAGTCCAAGAACACGGCTGAATCACAGTCAGAGTGGTTAAAATATCACGATATCGACTCCTCCTCGTTCTTCTTCGGTGGCAAAGCCTTCTTTTACATTGCGTTCGCGTTGGCAGTGGCGAAGAGAGCGAGTAGGAGACGACAGTTAGCGAGCCAATAGCCGTACGGAATAGCCCGGCCGAGGTCAACGGCCACCAAATGTTTTAGAATGCAATGGGTAGGAGGGGGCTAGGGGAGATGTGCTGGCAAGGGTGTACCGTTCGAGTAGAGGGGGTCAGGACGTAAGAGAAAAAATATGCTGGAGCCGTGGCAGAGCTAGGCTCCGCTCGCGTTCTACTTTCTTCCTCACCCTCTTTCTCTCTCTTTCTCTCTCTCTCTCTCTCTCTCTCTCTCTCTCTATCTCTTTCTTTTTCTCTCTCTTTTTTTCTCTCTATCTCTCTCTCTCTCTCTCTCGTTGGTTCTAACTGACGGTAGGCTCGCGTGTATAGAGCGCATTTAGAATGCGTACGCGGCCGGCTTCCAAAGAGGATGATATTCTTTATCGCCAAAATTTCTGTCTACCCGAGCCGAAATCGCGCGACGATCGCGAGCTCGCCAACTAGCAGGTGCGCCGTTTAATGAGAGCCGAGCTAACGAAAAGGGGCTGCATGAAATCCCTCCCTTTTGTGGTGCCTGGTACCTTGGGTACTAATAATAAGCGATACTCAGTTTTACACACGGCCGACTCTCGAAATCCATGATTCGTTGGATCGACTTCTATGTACGTACGTACCAGTAACCGATGCGTTCTTTCGAATTACTTTAATTTTATATATATATATGTATGTAATTTCTCTTTACGAGGGACAATCGACTTATACGGGAACGCGAACGATTCTATTTTATTTGCATTTACGAAAAATACAAATGAATATATGGACACTTTGACGTAGATTAATTTCGCTTATTGATTTTTCGTTTCCAGTAACTGAGACACTTTTGATAGCGAATCGATACTCGTATGTACCTGTTGGACGTGTTCAGAATGCAGAAGCAGTCGGTCCCGTGATATAGTTGATATTATTCGACCCATAGGAGAGAAAAAAAAAGAAGAGAAAAAGAAAGGAAAAAAAAAACAAAAAAAAAAACAACAAAAAAGAAATATGCGTGGTTCATCATACGTTGGATTTTTATCGGTCGACTCTTTTTTATCCGAACGAAACGCTCGCGTTACGTTATGCAGCATCCTGCTTTATGTACGCCCAAGGTCGACTGACTCAGCGGCCGTCGAGCGGCATAGAAAACATCCTAATTGCATTGTTCGTCGATGGCAGGGGCGACCGATGCCAGGGATATATACGGGACATCGTATCGTTCGTTGTAACGAGATAAGGCCAAAGTCAACGTTACGACGAGCATAATCTATATGTATAATGCTCTGAGAAGATCGCACGACTAAACCCTTTCTTTTCTTTTTTTTTCAACTTTCGTTTTTTCAAAAGAAACTCCAATTTTTCTTTCTTTTTTTTTTTCTTTCTTTTCTCTTTTTTTATTCTAGAAAGAGAATCAGTACGGCGATAAAACGAATCGCTTGCGATTATTACGCCGGACGAACGAAAAGACCCACACGAATCAGTGAGGATCGCGCGATGCCTCACGAGGAAACGATTCAGACGAAAAACAAAGTATCACGGGTATGATCGATTCGTTCGTGTAAAAATAAAATTTGGCGGACGGTGCATGTACCGTAAAAATATCGTGAGTTTCCGGGAATGCGAAACACCGTGTGTAACTTTCACCCGGTTTTCGAAGGAGGAGAAGGCTTTCTCCCACCCACTCTTTGTCTCTCTCTCTCTCTCTCTTTCTCTCTTTCCCCATCCCCTTCTCAATCTCTCATTCTATACGTTTCTAGCTAGGTGGATCGACGGTGGTTGAAAAAGTGTAGAAACGCTTCTAGACCAAGTAGGCAACGTCCCTCAGCCTCGACTCCTAGCAATCCAATCAATAAATATTACAATGGAACCCCTAGAGAAGTAGGGGAGCAGCGTATCCTCTTCTCGTCCACCTCCCACCATCGTCTCTTCTCGTCCACCTCCTCTCTCTTTCTTTCTCTTTCTCTCATACTTTCCTACGGCAACGGTGGTGGCAGTGGTGGTGGCGTCATGTCGGTGGAAAAAGGACCTCTTTTCCGTCGCGCTCTCACAGCATTCCTCGTCCTGGTTCTCCCTCGTCGTCCTCGGCTACATCTGCGAGACGTCATCTCCCTTTTCCTCTCTTTTTCTCTTCCGCAAGCGCCCTCGTTTGCTCGTTTCATCTCTTTCTCTTTCTCTCTTTCTCTCTCTCTCTCTCTCTCTATTCTCCGCCTATCCCTCCTTCTCTTTTCTCTCCCTTCTTACGAGCGCTCCGAGCGTCACCCCTTCGCCCCTCTGCCCACCCTCCCCTCGCCCGCGAACGTTTACATTTTACTTTTCTAGTAGCGAATTAAAACCGCGTTCATGCGCAGCCCGCGGAAGGGCGTAATGATTTTTTGAGGGGCGAATCGAGTCGGGTCGCCGACGGCAATGCCGCGGAGGGGATAGTGGTTCGGGGCCGAGAGAGAGAGAGAGAAATATATATATATATATATATATATATATATATATATATATATGTGTATAAAGAGAGAGAATGAGAAAAAGAGAGAGAGAGACAGAGAGTTTAGAAGGAACAGATCGGCAAGAGTCATTCGTAAGACGGTTGCTTTGTTGAATTTTTTACTATAAGGCATGGCTAATCGAGAGGAACACGAAAGGAGCGGAAAATTCAAATCGTCGCGATTCTAATGTCGTAAAACATTTGACAGCAGAATATCTGGACGAATATCGTCATTTCTTTTGTCTTACTTATTTATTTACTTTCTTTCGTTTCTTTTTTTTCCTTTTATTTGTTTTTTTTTCTTTTCTTTTCTTTTCTTTTCTTTTCTTTCCTTCCGATGAAAAAAATGATGCGAGGCCGAGCGAGGAGTTCGCCCGCTCGTTTCCGATCGAAAGTGACATTTTTGTTCTCTCGGTGCTTTACGCATTTTCATTTCGCGGCGGTACCTCGCGGCGGGCCAAATCGGCCTGAGGGTGGAGTGGGGAGAGGAGGAGGAGGAGGACGAGGAGGTAGAGGAGCGGGCGACGCGTCCGCAAGCACCGACCTCCCCACCAATCCGGCCAATGGCTCTCTCTCTTTCTCTCTCTCTCTCTCTCTCTGACACGGTCTCTCTTTCTTTATCCCTATACTCCCTCCTCATCCTTCTCCTCCTCCTCCTTTTCTCTTCCTTTTTTTTCTTTCTTTTTTTCTTTCTCTCTTTCTTTCTCAGTGGCCTGGCGCGGCGCTCTCTCGCTCTCTTGCTCTCTGCGTACGCACTATTTTTTAGTCCGCACTTATTACGACAGATGTCTCATGCTACGATAAAGAATAACGCCGAACGACTTCCGCCCCGCGTTAGCTGCTAGTCCTAAGCAGACTCGGGAACTGCGACTTGGAGTTAACTTCGTTCGTGCCTTCACTCTTTCTATCTCTTTCTCTCTCTCTCTCTCCCTTTTTTTCTTCGCCTGGTAAAAGTCACGTTTTTTATTTTGCTGATATTATCGACGAGTACGTTCGTTCATTCGTCCGTTCGTTCATTTTTCTTTTATTCTTTTCTATTTACTCTCGAAGGAAATATCATAGGATTCGTGACGGTCGACAACTAGTTAACCGTAATTATCGTCATCGTTCCGTTCAAAGAAATAGTAATATTATTAACGTCGTATCTGTCGTCATATTCATCGTCGTCTTCGTTTCTCGTTCATCCAGGTTCTTGATCGAGCACGTGTCCGTCATCTCTCCCTCGTCCGTCCGTCTGTCCGTCCGGATATTCGAAATTCCCGCGTCGCTGGCGCCACGCGTCTCGCGCGGCCCTGACGGCGTTTAGCGGCTCGTGAGAGAAAAAAGAGAGAAAAAAGACACAGGGAAAGAGAACGAGAAAGAGTAAGAGTAAGAGTAAGAGAAAGAAGAATAAGAAGAAGAAGAAAAAGAAGAGAGAAAGAGAGGGAAGTGGGTGGCGAGAAACGAAACGTGGAAGGAGCGAGGGCGTGAAGAGGGAGGAAAAGATAGCTGCTAGGTCTCCGGATCGCGCGCGCTCGGGCGTTGTATCGTTGAAGGGGCACCTCCCTCCCCCCTCTACGCTTGGTGTCTCTCTCTCTCTTTCTCCCTCCCTCCCTCCCTCCTTCCCTCCCTCTCTCTCTTTCTTTCTTTCTCTCACTCTCTTCGTGGCGCGCAACCACGAGACCTAACCTCTCCGCACCCTTTTCTCTCGTTCGCCGCGCGCGCTCTCGGCGAGCGCGTGCGAGAGGGAAAGGAGCGTGAGTGAGAACGAGTGAGAACGACAGAAAGAGGGAGAGAGAGTCAGAAAGAGAGACAGAGAGAGAGAGAGAGAGGGAGAGAGAGAGTGAGAGAATCGCCGGCGCCGCTCCTGTCGTCTCTCGCGACGCCGCGCACTCTCCACTTTTTCGGCGAGAGAGAGAGAGCGAACACGCCGAGCGACGACGACGAGAGCTGACACGCGCCGCGCGATCTTACGTACGGATATCGTTTCGCGAGAGTGGCGATGCTACTGTTACCTCTTCCACCACCACCGTCACCGTCACTGTCACTGTTACCATCACCGTCACCGTCATCATCGTCATCGTCATCGTCACCGTTGCCGTTGCCGTCAACGTCGCCGTCACTTCCGTGTCTTCGCCGGCTTTTTCCTCGTCTTTGCCTTCCTCGCCTTTGATTACGAGACGCGATTATCGCGAATATATAAATCCTTAGTGCCTGCGGCTCGCGCGCTTACACGGTGTGAACGACACAACGATATACGATTAATTAAGGATACACCCGTTATATATCGTTCGAGTATTTTCGTAAAACAAAAAAATAAGGTTAATACCTAATAATAATAATAATAATAATAATAATAATAATAATAATAATAATAATAATAATAATAATAATAATAATAATAATAATAATAATAATAATAATAATAATTAATAATAATAATATTAATAATAATAATAATAATAATAATCGTAATAATAATCGTAATAATAATACCAACCAATAATAATAATAATATAAAGAAGAGGAAGAAAAGGGAGGATTGTACATGGAGCATGGTGTCCCAAGGTTGAAGAGGGCCAAGAAGGGCGAGCACGTGAGCGTTGTCTTCGGCCGGTGTCGCGACGAGGTAAAGATCCACGATCTCCCTCGATTTTCAATTATTATCAAACTTTTCACACACCGATTACACTTCTTTCGAAACAAAATAAAGTAGGCATCTTCCGTTCTCTATTTTTCTCTCTTTCTCCCTCTCTCTCTTTCTTTCTCTCTTCTCCCTCTCTCTCTCTCTCTCTCTCTCTCTCTTTCTCGTCATTTCTTTTGCAAGGCAAGGTGGGGGGGAGAAGATCGTGATGTCCTTATCCTTTTGTCCTCTTCCTTGTCTCTTTTACCACCTCCTTTCGCCGGTTCGTGGCCGGTGAGCTTTTCGTACGTTTTCGTGCGAACCCGAAGAGACCTTCAATAGTAACGCGCGATGCTCGCGACGTTTTGGGGGTTAGTTCGGGCGCGCACACCGCGTCGTCCGCATCGTTGAGGGGCGAGAACGTCATCATTTATTCGAATGGGATGGGACGAATGGATAGATAGAAATATAGGGTAAGAGAGAAAAAGAAAATAAGAGTGAGAACAAGAAAATGAGAGTGAGAATAAGTGAGTTTAGTGATTGAGATAGAGATAAAGAGAGAGACAGCAAAAGAGAGAGAGAGAGAGGAGAGAGAGAGAGAGACGGTACAATGAAGAAAATAGTGGTTTTAACGGTACACATATAGACGCGCCTTTTTCGAAGTTCTCGCGCGGTTTTCCTTTACTGCCCTCATCTTCCTCCCCCTCCTTTTCCCATCAACAAGCGTCCTCGTTTAGTTGTCGGCCGTTCTCGCTGGTGGCGGCGCGACATACATACATACATACATACATATATATATATATATGTATGTATGTGTATGTAGGTATCTATGTGTATGCTTCTTCGGAAACCGTTGCGTTCCGACGAATCACGAGGTTGCACGCGCGAGAAGCGGGAAATGTTCTGGCGGTACACGCTATACATATATACAATATTGTCAGTTACTATCTTGATTTTTCGATTGACCTTCGTCATTGATGAAATTTGAAAAAAAAGGAAAGAGACTTCGGAATATGATTGGAACTAATTCATCATACATACTTTTCTCTCTCTCTCTCTCTCTCTCTCTGTCTGTCTCTCTCACTCACTCACTCTTTTTTCTTTCTCTTCTTTTCCGTCATCCGATATGTGCGCGATCGTTTTCTTTTTATTACCTTATTTTAATCGTACAATGAAAACACCAGATCGATTTTCAAGATCGTTCGTGAAAATCGCCTGTAATTCGTAGTAGAAAAGTATCGCCGAACGCGCGCGCACGCGAGTGTGTGTATGTGATGATGTGCGTGGAAGAAAGAAAAAGAGAGAGAGAGAAAGAGAAAGTGGGCGCGCGCGTATCCGATGATAACGCGCGCTCCAAATCTTTACGGCTGATCTCACTTACGGAGGACTACGTCGATCTTTGCGCACTTTTTTTGCGAGGTGGCGTTGCGGAGATAAAACGCGGAACGCTTTACGACAGTCCATTGTTTCGGTCATTAGCTTACGCGGCATGACGAGCGATAGGTGCGCTTTCGTGATAACGTCCCACCATCACCAAAACCAACACTAATATACCATCATCATCACAACCACTACTACTACCATCGTATTAATACTACTGCTATTACTATTACTATTACAACTACTACTACTACTACTGCTACTGCTACTGTTACTTTTACTACTAGACTACTACTATTACTATTATTGGCGACTACTATCACTATTACCACCATTACTGTTACTATCACTACTATTATCACCATTAATACTATTGTTACTTTTTCCTTTCCCCCAACCCCTCCCCTCCCCACTTGTAAATTGTGGTTTCCTTTTTCTTTTTTTGTCATTTTCTTCTTGTTTTTTTTTCTCTCTTTTTTTTTTCTTTTTTTTTTGTTTTTTATTATTATTATCATTACTCTTATCTCTTTTTTACTTTTTCTTCTTCTTTTTTTCTCTTTTTTTTTCTTTTCGGGAAGTGTGCGGTGAATGTGTGCCTTAACACGGGAGTGCGTTCTGCTGACGCTTTTTGACCGGGAACCGTCGCCGTCGTTCGCGGTTAAACTGAACGCGTGTATATTGGACGTAAAACAGGGGAAAAAAAAAAAAAGAAAAAAAAACAAAAGAGAAGGAAAGGTAATCGCTCGTTGATTATCTCTCTCTCTCTCTCTTTCTCTTTCCCTATCTCTATCTCTGTATCTATTCGTATCTCTCTATCTTCGATCGACAAAAAAAAGACCTTCGATTCTTTTTCTTCGTCTTTAAGCAGAAACTATATCTATTCTTTTTATTCACGAGCTGGTGGCAAGTGATCACGTCGCGTAAATAAGGCACAAAGAAAGGAAGAAAGATTAGAAAGAAAGAAAGAAAGAAAGAAAGAAAGAAAGAAAGCAAGGAAAAAGAGTAATAGAGAAACCTTCTTCTTCTTCGCACTTTCCTAACCGGTATTTCCCGCGCTGGAACTTTTGTCGTTCGTGTCAATTATTGTCTCGTCATCATTATTTTCTATCATTTTTATCATCGTACTAGTACGCCTTTTTTATCTTTCTTCGTTAACGATTTTTCAAATGTTTATATATCCATCGTGTTGTATATCGTGTCTCTTTTCCTTTTGTTTCTCTATTTTTTTCTCTTCCTTTCCTTTCGTTCAACATCCTTTTTTTTCTTTTCTTTTTCTTCTCTCTCTCTCCCCGCTCCTCTCTCTTTCTCTCTCTGTCTCTCTCTCTCTCTCTCTCTCTCTCTCTCTCTCTCTCTTTCTTTCTCTCTCTCTTGCTCGACCGCCACCGATCTTTTCCGCAATAACGTGCGCGAGAAGCCTCCGTAAATTCCCTCCTAAAGGATCGCACAGTGCCCACTGTTCTCGTGTTATCAAACAATGTTTAGCGATTCTCACGAGACTCCGAAACTTATCTTGAATTCGTCAGACATAAATTTAGCAGACCACGATAGCGCTGGTAAAAAAAACTGTGAGAATGTGTTTCGGCCGAAACGGATATTTCTTCTCTTTCGAATTAGTGCCTTACTACATTCGTGCAGTGATATATACGAGTTGTTGTTGATGGTGTATATATATATATATATATATATATATATATTATAGTGTGAGTTAGAAAGTTTAGCGACGATAAGGAGGTTGATTGAATTACGGCGTTAAACGATTTCGAATCGGAGACAGAGTGCGAAGATAGTTTGTTATGTTTTTTTCCTCGGTGTCCGTTATCCCCGAGTATATTAAACGAATAAAGAGAGAGAACGAGAGAGAGAGTGAGAGAGAGAGAGAAAGTGGGAGTGGTAGGGAGGGGAGAGAGAGAGAGAGAGAGAGAGAGAGAGAGAGAGAGAGAGAGAGAGAGAGAGAGAGAGAGAGAAAGAGCCGTGTCAAACGTTATAATTATAACTTTAAGTAACAATATAATTATGATCAATGACGTGCTTTCAAACGTTGGAAATCTTTTTTTACTAGAATGTATTGCTACACTTATGCAGGGAGTCGACTCTGCAAATTTGTTTTAAGATTTTTTTATCATTTCGCTAAGATAACACTATCAGCATACATTTAATGCTTGCGCTTTTATAAGTAGCAGAGAGTATTATTTAATCGTATGTTCTGGCTTGGCTCCAGCTTGACGACCTAATTTTTTTTTCCATTTTTTTCTACGGCAAAATAAAAATATGAAATATTGTTGCTTTGCAACTTTTCCTTTAAATAAAATACGATATTGACAATATTAATGTTTGGGGTTCATCCCATTGGGAAATGGGTCATCTTTCTTGTTAATATTGACATGAAATTTTCTTGAAGATCAATTTTATTAATATGAAATTGTTTGTATATTTTTCTAAACTAATAATATTTTTCATATGTTAAATCGCAAGAAGATAGTTCAATATATAATTATTTTATTTCCATATTATCGGTTGCGTAATTCTTTATCCAGCTAATAAAATGAAATGGACATCTGTTTTAATAACGCGTTTATTCGTGTATAAAGATATATATATATATATTTCTTTATCAAACAAATAATATATTAAAATGAAAGTATTATATTTAAATGGCAATTTTGAATTTTTATAAATCGTTTCAAGATAACAAACAATAATATTCATTCTATATATGAAGATAAAATGTTTGTTCACAGGTGAATAGATATAACGATGGTAGATACGCAACACTTTTGTCTGCGATGGAATAATTACCAAAGCAGCATAACGTCAGCTTTTGAAAACTTGAGAGATGACGAGGACTTTGTGGACGTTACATTGGCTTGTGATGGCAAGAGCCTCAAAGCACACCGGGTTGTACTTTCTGCTTGCAGTCCATACTTTAGGGAACTTCTCAAGGTAGATACCAATGATATATTAATTTTTTCTTTTTTATTTTTTTTTATATTTTTTTATATTTTTTTTTTTTCTTTAACAAAGTAATATTAAAACTTTAACTTTATAATTATATTATTTCAGAGCACACCATGCAAGCATCCGGTGATAGTACTTCAAGATGTAGCGTTCAGTGACTTACATGCCTTGGTGGAGTTCATCTACCATGGGGAAGTGAACGTACATCAGCGTTCTCTTAGCAGTTTCCTCAAAACTGCAGAAGTACTTAGGGTATCGGGTCTTACACAACAAGCTGACCAGACGGATAGGGACGAGGTGAGTAGGAATTAATTCAGAACAAACATATTCCATTATTACAAAATATACAATTTATATTGCTAGTTAATTCTTGCACGGTCAAGTAAAAATAGATTAATCGAAACATCCTCAAATTTTGATAAAAAATTTTTTGATAAAAAGCAAGGAAAGAAAAAAAAAGAAAAGAAAAGAAAAGAAAAGAAAAAGGAAATTGTTGCGAGTAGTTATTAGAGATGTAAAATGATCATGTGATCCAATGAATTTTTCTATATCCCATACATATTCGTTGACTCGGATGTCCCTGGAAAGATCTTTTCTAGGCAATACGTATAACGAATACGAATGGGGTGACTTTAACGAAACATTTTTTGCCACGATTTAGCTCTCACATGTTCGCGCACTGGCTGCTGGTGTTAATCATCTTCCTTTTCACGAAAAATCAGAAGAAAGTTTTCCTCGTAGTGGTTCCCCGCCGGCACCGACAACACCAACACCTACGACGGTGCAACAGTTATTGCGTAGAGCACAGATACGTAGGAACGAGAGGCGTACGCCGGATCTTCACGAGGATTCGGCGAAAAGATCGAGGGTATCCTCGCCGCCTCTCAACAATAATGACGCTACACCGACCGATTTCTCGATGGTGAAAAACAATCATCTTTCGAGTAAAGTGGAAGGTAACGGTGTCCACGAAGAGAATAGTCCCATAGAAGATACAATAAAGTGCGAGCCTTTGGAATTGACCGGTGGTAACGGTGGGAATGCCGGTAACAACGAGGACTCTTCGGATTCGGGAGCAGCGGCATCGGATAGGCCACCGGCGTCGGCGAGTAGTAACGAACACGAGCCTGAACCCGAACACACACCGACGCAAAATTTTATGCCGGAAAGCAAATTGTTCACATCGACGCCAGGAAGTTTTAACTTCAGTATGGCAGCCCTCACGGATCACACGCCATTGTCAGGTACGTCCGAGTTTTATTTTCGAAGCAGGCCTGTACGCACCACGCAAACATCCCCATACATATAAACATAATTAATTATTACCAAATTATTCGTAAATCCTTGTTACATGTTGATCCTCGCTGGCGCGTGCGCGCGCGCTCGCTCGTTCGCTCGCACACGTTTTAGTTCGTCC